ACAGGTGGCAATATTGTCACCTGCCTGCGCTCGTCTCTGAAACCAGACCATGTAAACAGGCTGGTTTTTCTTGCAAAAAATCTTTAAGAGATTACATGAGCAGCCCTACCAGCATTTGCCAAGGTGGCCATGTTGGCTATATGTTAAGGAGTTGTCAGTAGGTTGTGACAGTGCACTGCAACATATTTGATTTAATTTATTTTGGTCTAATTTATTTTTATTTATCATATTAATATATGTTTAGTATGGTTTTGGAAGTGCGCTCCAACATATGTTTATTGGTAAATATTATTTGTTTTAAAGTTCAATAAATGGTCAATGAATAATCGTCAAAATAATCGTGATATCAATTATTGACCCAAATAATCGTGATTATGATTTTTGCCATAATCGCACAGCCCTAGGCCTTACACTCAACTTAACAAACCACTTGTGTTTTGTTTATACTGTAAATATAGAAAACCATAAAATATGAAGCATTTTCATTGTACAAGAATACAAGAATATAATTGATTATATTTGATTATAATTAACTTTCGTTTTAAGTATTCAACCTAATATGGAGATCTCAACAGTGTAGAGACAGCGATAGAAAGCATGGACAAAACTTTAAATGATAATGATAGAGAGATGTGTGAGGGAGAGATTGGTACAGGAGAAATATATTTAATCTCCCCAATCTGATCAATGACGACATGTCATAATTTCAGCGCTGGTTGTCTTGGTGGTTCCCAGCAAACGATGTGGGCTTCGTAAATAATTGGACAGCCTTCTGGGGAAAACCTGGTCTGATTAAGAGAGACGGCACTCATCCTACTTTGGAAGGTGCAAATCTCATTTCGGCAAACATTTCAGGGCTTTGTGGACGTAATCCATGACAAACGAGTTGAGACCAGGAGGCGGAGTCGCAGTCTTACACGCTTCTCTGCGCTCTCTCCTGGGCAGTCATCCATAGGAATCCCGAACCCAATAAAATACCCAATATTAACGGTGTGTGTGTCTGCCCAAGGACAATTTAAGGTAAAACCTATGTCATACATAATAACCTAATAAAAGTAAATGTAACAACTACTACAGTGCAACAAAACAGGAAGATTAAATGTTGTCTCTTAAACATAAGATCTCTAGCATCTAAAGCAATATTGGTAAATGATTTAATATCAGATTATAATATTGATATATGCTGTCTCACTGAAACTATGTTGAGACATGAAGAATATGTCAACATAAATGAGGCCACTCCACCCAGCCATATCAATACTCATATTCCTCGAGGCACAGGCCGAGGAGGTGGAGTTGCAGCCATCTTTGACTGAAGTTTACTTATCAATACTAAACCAAAATTAAATTATACCTCCTTTGAAAGCCTTGTTTTTAGTCTTACGCATCCGACCTGGAAAACTTTGCAGCCAATCTTATTTGTTACAGTGTACCGTGCACCAGGTCCTTATTCAGAATTCTTATCAGAATTCTCTGAGTTTTTATCAACTTTGGTACTTAAAACAGTAAAAAGTAATTATCGTAGGTAACTTTAATATTCATGTTGACGATGATAAAAATAGCCTTACTGTTGCATTTAACTCTATATTAGATTATGTTGGTTTCCGTCAGAGTGTAAATAAACCAACCCACTGTTATAATCACACTCTCGACCTTGTTCTGACTTATGGTATTGAAATTGAGCAACTATTAGTCGAACCGCATAATCCTGCTTTATCCGACCATTTCTTAGTAACTTTTGAAGTACTGTTACTAGACTACACAGCATTAGTCAAAAGCTCCTGCAGCAGAAACCTATCTGTTAGTGCTATAGCCAAATTTAAGGAAGAGATTCCACCAATACTTAACTCGATAGCATGTCTGTATGTAAGGGAGGAAACTTATACAAAATGTACACCACCCCAAATTGATCATGTTGTTGATAGTGCTACAGATGCGCTGCGAATAAAATGAGACTCTGTTGCTCCTTTGAAAAAGAAGAAAATAAAACAACATAGATTAGCTCCATGGCATAATGCCGAAACCAAAAGCAAAAGTCGAGACAACTTGAAAGGATATGGCGTTCCACTAAACTTGAAGAATCTCGTTTAACTTGGCATATTACTCTCAATGAATATAAGAAAGCACTGCGTAAAGCGAGAGCAGCTTACTACTCTTCATTAATAGATGAGAATAAGAATAATGCAAGATTTCTTTTCAGCACTGTAGCCAGGCTGACAGAGAGCCACAGCTCTATTGAGCCTTCTATTCCCATAGCACTCAGTAGTAATGATTTGATGTGCTTTTTTAACGATACAATTGTTACTCTTAGAAACAAAATGAATGACCTCTTGCCTTTGACCAGTATAGTGTTATCAACAGCTCCCGGAAACGTAAGTTCTAAAATTACACTAGATAGTAAATTAGAATGCTTTTCAGCCATAAACCTTGAACAATTAAATTCAATGATTCTCTCTTCTAAACCATCAACGTGTATCTTAGATCCGATTCCAACTAAGCTGTTAAAGGAAGTTTTTCCATTAGTTAGCACTTCTTTATTAAATATTATGAATATGTCTTTATTATCAGGCTATGTTCCACAATCATTCAAAGTAGCAGTGATAAAACCGCTTCTTAAAAAGCACAACCTCGATCCAGAGGTTTTAGCCAACTATAGACCTATTTCTAATCTTCCGTTCCTCTCAAAAATTCTTGAGAAAGCAATCGCAAAACAGTTGTGTGATTACTTAAAAAACAATGATTTATTTGAAGATTTTCAGTCTGGCTTTAGAACACATCATAGCACAGAGACAGCTCTGGTTAAAGTCACAAATGACCTTCTAATAGCCTCAGACAAAGGACTTGTCTCTATTCTTGTTTTGCTCGATCTCAGTGCTGCATTTGATACTATCGACCATGATATCCTATTGCAAAGACTAGAGCACTTAGTTGGCATACAGGGAACTGCTTTAGGCTGGTTTAGGTCCTATCTATCTGAACGCTCTCAGTTTGTATGTGTCAACGATGAATCTTCCATGCAGACCAAAGTTAGCCATGAAGTGCCACAGGGCTCAGTGCTTGGACCTATTTTGTTCACATTATATATGCTTCTGTTAGGTAATATTATAAGGAATCATTCTGTACATTTTCATTGTTATGCGGATGATACTCAACTATATTTATCAATCAAACCTGATGAAATTAATCATCTAAATAAAATTCAAGACTGCCTCAAGGACTTAAAAACTTGGATGACCTTAAACTTTGTTAAACACGGCCAAAACTGAAGTTATTGTACTCGGCCCAAAGAATCTACGAAACAAATGATCTAAAGATATACTAACTATGGATGGCATTAATTTGGCCTCCAGTGAGACTGTAAGGAATCTAGGTGTTATATTTGATCAGGATTTATCTTTTAACGCCCACATAAAATCAATTTCAAGGACCGCCTACTTCCATCTACGTAACATTGCAAAAATCAGGCATATCTTGCCTCAAAACGATGCAGAGAAACTAGTCCATGCATTTGTTACTTCAAGGCTGGATTATTGTAACTCTTTATTATCAGGGTGTACCAACAAGTCAGTTAAGTCGCTTCAGCTGATTCAAAATGCTGCAGCACATGTACTAACCAGAGTTCGGAAAAGGGACCACATTACTCCTGTTCTGGCTGCCTTACACTGGCTCCCTATAGAACACAGGATAGAATTTAAAATTCTTCTTCTCGCCTACAAAGCCCTTAATGGGCAAGCGCCATCTTACCTTAAAGTGGACCTATCATGCTATATTTAAATGATATATTGTAGGGCCATACCTATATTAGGTATATTTATACGTTTCTGTTTTCAAAATACCAAACAGATCATGATTTTAAGCCATGCCTCATTTCACTCTATTTGCTGTTCTCCAGCACTGTTTTTGCAGGGGGCTGATTCTGTGAGCTGCAGCTGACCACGCCCCCCTGCAGGAGAGGGGAGCGCGCTCTGAACAGCTGCTGGGCTGTCAGAAGAGGGGGAGAAAAATAGATCTCCGTCTTCCGTGTTTTATTATAGCCTATTATTATATAGAGTCGTTATTCATTTGTTTTAAAGCTCAATAAATAACAAAGAAGACCTTTGACCGGCACTTTTCTAATTTTGTCCGGAAGATTTAAACTTTAACGGACATCTTGACCGGCGAAAGAAACTGAAACTGAAACTCTGCCGCACGGTCCCCTCGTTCCTTGGAAGAGGCGGAGAAGTGGGTGTTTGTCATCTGCTGGTGGACTAACCGGAGAGAATTACAGTGCTTGCCTCGACGGGGAGGGATTGCATTGAATTAAAGCAGCAGGAGGAGCAAACGCTTGCCTCGGGGAGGGAGAAAAAAAGCCACAGCGGAGAATAAACAGAAGGGTAACCATGGTAACCATGCGCGGGAAGTCTTCTTCGCTGCCTTTGTGGCAGACGACAGCGCCTCTTACAGGCCTGGCATATGTACTACAGCGTCTCCAGCGCTTTCGAGCGGCAATGGCCGGCCGTGGCCCAACTCCACATTCCCCTGATAGGTGGAGAGTTGGCCCAATAGCCGTGGCTCCACTTTCCTGACGTCAGTAAAGTGTTCAAATCTGGATCAGTTTTTATCAGATCCATTCAGGGGCGTCGCCTGGACCTGGAAACATTCGGGGCTGAGCCCACAGTGGCGGTGTAGGTACCAGAATCTGTTCGGGGTTCGTTACGCCGCTTACCAATGACGTCACGCATTGGCTGTACAGCAACCCAATAGGACATTTTACATGGCCAAATTCCGCAAAGAATATTACAAAATAACAATAAACAGTACTGTAAACATTATGTAAATAACCCAATTTGTGTTCTGTGAAACTGAAAAGGATATTACAGTGTTTTTTGTTACTTTTCGTTGGCTGTTGACAGGAAGTTGTTGTTGCTATGGAAACAACATGACGGAGAAAAAAGTAATATCTTCTCCATATAAAGACGTAGAAAGTAAAGAATAACGTGGTGGCCTACCAGATCTGTTACAATGAAGGCTCGATAATCAGCTCACGACATATAGGTGTGTCGTGTGTGTACAGAGTTATAAAGGTTGGTATAAAATCCTTGTTAAATCGGAGAATTAATTCGGGTTACGCCAGAGGTGGCGATATATGCTCCAAGTGGAAGCGATTCGCCATTAAATAAAAGAAGAAGAAGAAGAATTACGCCATCTGGTGTCACAAACAAACGTGTGCCTGCATTAGCTTTGTTACGGCAATGGATTGTGGGAGATTCTCATAACATGTGAGGATCTCTCGAGGGTAAGGTGCCTGTATTATTTTGGTGGACAAAATGTATGTTTTTATTTTATAAGGACTATAACGTTTTGTTGTGTTTGTTTAGTTTAATGTTAATCGTTTAATGCTCACACAGCAGCATGTTTTTTGTGTGTTTGGCTATTGGTTTTATATGATTTATCAACGTGATCATCAATAGCTAATCTGAGCTAATAAGCTAATGGGAGAGCTGCTCCACACGATGCCTCGACTACAAAGTCTTCCATGTTTCTACGCTTCTTCCTCTGTGTCACAGTTTCGGGAATATCAAGATCATTGCACAGGGCCTTGGTCTTGCTTTCTCGTCACTTCTGTAACTTTTCAGTGTGTTCTCAACTGCTGTTTTGTAATTTACTGCCTGCACCAAGTCAATTGTTTCTTTCTGCAGGTATTTGTGCAGGCCCTGAGTGGTTGAGAGCAGTGTCTGGAACAGGACAAGCATGTAGATGGTACTGCATTTGCAAAACTTGCTTTCCAGCCCCTTTGCCAGAGGGGCTGAAAGGCTCCCTAAAGTCTTGATCAAAGCAGGGAGGTTTTTGACATGCCCAGCGAACAAGTTATTTGTCCCCTACCTCTAGCTGTTTCTGAAATGTTTGCAATCTCTAATGGTGGAGAAGAAAGAGTAGAGACACTCCAGGAGATCAACGCAGGTATGTGAGTTTTGTACACCAGTTTTTTTAAGTTTAATGTTTCACATTGCTTATGAAAAATATACTACCACTATATGATCACTGATGTTTTGTTGTTGACTGGACACTTATTTTTTTAAAGAGATGGCATGTGAGGATCTCTTAAGCAATGAAGCTCACGTGTCCTTTTTATATGCTGTCCATTGAAATGCAGGAAAGTAATCACCAACTGTGAGTGATCTGTTGCCGAGGGGACACTACACCGGAGTTACATAAGCAGAGGTAAAGTACTATTTTTGGGGGGAACTCCCCCAGGAAGATTTTTTTTAAATATTGAAGTTAAAAGCATCAATCTGGTGCACTTTGAGAGCAACATTAAGAGATCTATACATCTCTCAACACCCATATGTCAAAAAAAAATCAAAGAATCAGAATCAGAAACAGGTTTATTATTTAAAAACACTTGATTTTCCAATTAAATCATAAACTATGTCAAATTATTAGAAGTTGTTAGTAATGAGATTAAACTGAAAAAAGGGATGGAAGGAGGAAATAATAATCCCTCATCACTTGCTTCCTTCCTCACTTGCTGCTTCCTTCATCACATTACCTTTCATTTGCTTCGTTTTTTCTCCCCATCATCACTCGCTGTCTTCACACTCTTTATTGTTTTGTAGGTGGAAGTGTTAGGCTAAATCGCCTTGGTTTGACCTTCGCAAATCGGTCGACGACCTCCCCATGGAGGGTGACATGCCTGTATGCCAATTAATATTTTTTCCCCAACTCCAGAAAACCTGTTTTGAAGCTCCTCCAGCATTCTGTCGAGAACTGGAAAGAAGAGCCTTGTGTATGTTTGAATTTTCATGTTCTCGAAAAGAATCCAATGCACGCTTCCAGTTTGTGTATCCTGAGGTGGTGAGGGTGTCCCTTTGATCCCTTGATTGCTTTGGTTTGCCATATAGTCTACAACTAAAGCAGAATGCTGCATTGGCAGTGGTAGAATATTCAACCCATTTAAAAGTATCAAACCAACTTGGTTGAAATGATCTCTTTTGCTGGCCAAACATGCCGGATGGAAAACAGTGATGTCTCACTTGCCTTGGCCCTGTATCTGCAGTCCCTAAATCAGTTACCCAGTTACCCATTGACTCTTGTCTGTTCTGATGTTCCTGTTCATTGTTGTTCTTATCTGTTGTATCTCCTTCTTGTGTGTCCCTTTCTCCTGTTCTCCTTTCTTCATCCTCTACTATTTTTGGCTCATCTGTGATGACTGTGTAGGTAAACACAAACAAGTATTTAAAATCAGTTTCCAGCTCTGTCAAATAAATGAATTTCAAGATACACAAATTTGTCTTCATTAAAATGAGTGTCACCACACTGTCACAAAATATAATACTAACCAATTGAAAATAGTTAAATTGACATTGGAAACCTCTTGTACAGTAGATATCACTGTTAGTAGTTATCTGCCAATAGGAGAGAATCATTCCTATACAAATGCAGTTTGAGTAATTCACTTAATATATTTACTTAACACTTAAATATAGTCATTTTCACGTAATACTCGAATAGTCATCTTTCTGCATTCAAAACTAAGGAAAGCTGTACAATTTGACATGATAATGAGGAAAAAAGGCCTCCGACAATGCAGATTTTTTGATCATATCAATTTTAAGATGGGGGTTGAGGCTTAATATTTGGGAGCATAGTGTCCCTTGTCCCCTTTCAGGAGCCCTACTGGATTAGCTTTGATCTGAAATCTTTGTATATAAAAAGCTTGTTAGCTGGCTGTCCATCTCATAATGTTCACATAGAAACTAGCTATCAATAGGAAATATCAATCAGAATTATAATTTCATGCAAAAATCTGTCACAAAAAGAGGTTGCACATTTAAATTCAGGTGTTATGGCAACGTCAGTGGCCAAACAGCCACATTTACTGCTGCAAATACGTTCAAACGTGCTGTCGACAGTAAAGCAGTGGCAACTAGGCCACCATTTAAACTGACTTTTCTCAGAAATACTGTCACATAACATCCATATATTTCAGTGCTAGTTTGATGCTTAGCTAAGCTAACTATGAAACACTTTAACTGACAGGACTCAGGATCAACAGTGTACTGTAAGGTAGCTTCTAGCTTCCTGTCAAACAGTAAGTCAACATTTCCCAGAGAGCTTTCTTTGAAATCACCAGGTAACGCTAAAAAACACAACATTTATATTGTATGACAAAGTGTTTATTTAATATATCTGGCTCGCTATAGCTACTTGCTAACGGTTTAGATTACCCGTGCGATTCAAAGTAACGTCAACGTAGCTGTAATTTATGCTTTGCTTACATGTTCGCATAACTTGTAAGTTTACTGACATGTACATACCTTGTTCACCTGGCTCAGGTGGTGGCTCTGGGGTTGTTGTGTGAGCCACCACTTGAGTATTGCCGTCTTTTTTATTGAAAACATGTCTAATGTCCATCTTCAGAATCTCCGCGTCCGGGGCTGACAGTTTAAAGTTTAAACATTGTCACAGAGGAGAGGTACGTACCTGTCAGCCAATAAAACACGTTTATTTCCATGCAACTCTCTGATTGGTCTGGTGGTGTCTTGGCTTGCCTATGTTGCATTCACTGAACACGGGAAATTACAAATCTGCCGTCCTATAGGTAAAGAAGTACGGTTAATGTATTATATTGAGGGAGAATTTGTCCGGGGCTAAAGAAAAAACATCCGGGGCTAAAGCCCCGGATGCCTACCCCAGGCGACGCCACTGGATCCATTGCAGCCCCTTTTTTTAGAGATTTGGGTATGGAGGAAAATAGAGAGGGTTGTGTTTTCTGACACTTGGTGAGTTCCCTGGAACACCGGGGACACATATTCATGTAAAAAAAGACGTACAAAAGTGCAATTAGCATGATAGGTCCCCTTTAAAGAACTCAGTATACCCTACTGTCCTACTAGGGCATTGCGTTCCAAGAATGCAGGGTTGTTGGTTGTTCCTAGAGTCTCTAAAAGTACAATGGGAGCCAGAGCCTTTTCTTATCAAGCTCCACTTTTGTGGAATCAGCTTCCAGTTTGTGTTCGGGCGGCAGACACCCTATCCGTTTTTAAGAGTGCGCTTAAGACCTTCCTTTTTGATAAAGCTTATAGTTAGGGCTGAGATTCAGCCCCTAGTTTTGCTGCTATAGGCTTAGTTTGTCGGGGGACACCTTACTTCTTCCTTCTCTCTGTCTATACCTGTGTACTCTCATGTTCCCAATAACCCAGCTTCCCCAAATTTCTTTTTGGTGTCTATATACGCCGGGATCCAGAGTCATGGATGATCCTGTTGCTGTGGTCCTGAGTCCTGGATCGCGAGCCCTGGATCTTGAGTCGTGGCTGTGCCTGCTGCTGTGGTCCTGGATCATAAGTCCTGGATGGATATCCTCGTGGATTCATCTTCTTATTATAGACACATGCATTTCCAAACATTTGGACTACCTATGTTGCAAATGTGTTATCTTTTCAATTTACACACGGCATCTATTGCACGTCTGTCCGTCCTGGGAGAGGGATCCTTCCTCGGTTGCTCTCCCTGAGGTTTCTCACATTTTTCCACTCTACATATGTGCCAGATTTGCCCCAGTTTGCGACTCTTACAACCTCAGATCCAGTGCCTGGATACGGTTCCAGGTACCTGCTGTGCGGACTGAGGCTGGAAAAAGGAGTCTTTTTTATTATGGTCCTTGGTCTTGGAATGACCTTCAATCAAGCCTAAAACTGAGGGCATTTGTCTCTATAGCATGCTTTAAATTGAAGTTGTCTGAAGTCCTCACCACCAGCTGCTCTTGCAGTAATAAGTAGTGTACCTTTCTTACTGTCCTAATGTGCACAATGTAGTGACTGCTTTTTCGTCTTTTGTTTTCTTAGTTATGTTCTCTGTATTTTATATGTTTGTGTTATGTGTTATGTGCAACGTTGCTGCCTTCTTGGCCAGGTCAGCATTGAAAATGAGATTTTATCTCAATGCTTTTATCTGGTTAAATAAAGGTTAAATAAAAAATGTAAAAATATTCCCCTTTAAACTGTGGGTTTTCTCCGGAAGTTTTTCCTTGTACGATGTGAGGGTCTAAGGACAGAGGGTGTCGTATTGTCATACTGATAATCTGTACAAACTGTGAAGTCCACTGAGACAAATGTAACATTTGTGATATTGGGCTATATAAATAAACATTGATTGATTGATTGATTGATTGATTGATTGATTGATTGATTGATTGATTTAGCAATAGTAGGGTTGGGTAGAAATAAGAGTCCGGGGTTAGATGGGCTAACAGCAGAATTTTATATCACTTTCAGGGAACTGTTAGTACCAGTATTACACAGGGTGTTTAAACACATTGAGGAGGAGGATGACTTACCGACCAGCATGGCAACAGGGGTTATAAGTATCATTTTCAAAAAGGGGGATAGAGATAGATTAGAGAACTACAGGCCGTTAAGCATGCTTAACAATGATTATAAAATACTGGCTAGAGTACTGGGAAATAGAATCAAGAGGGTTATCAAAACAGTTGTGGGTGGGACTCAGGCGTATAGTGTACCGGGGAGGGATATAAGTGATACGACAAGTAGTATCAGAGACACTATTAAACATATGAAGGAGGAGAGGGGTGGCATTATAATGAGTCTTGATTTGAACAAAGCATTTGATAGTGTTAATAATGAATATTTATATAGAGTGTTAGAGAAAGCGGGGTTTGGAGTGAAGTTGGTGGGTTGGATTAAAAGATTATACAGTCGGGCAGTGAGTTGTGTTAAGATAAATGTATTATGTAATACATAACAAACGTGTTTAGGTTAGGGAGGTCGGTCAGGCAAGGTTGTCCTCTCTCCTCCATGTTGTATGCCTTGTCAGCAGAACCGTTAGCTACAATGCTAATTCAAAACAAAAACATTAGAGGGGTGGAGATACCGGGGGGACAAATTAGTCTCCTGTACCAATATGAAGATGATACTACGATTACGGTTAGAGATAGGGTTAGTGTGAGGGAAGTGTTAGAAATAGTGGGGCAGTATGGTAGGGCGTCAGGGGCAAAGATAAACATAGATAAATCAGAGGTAATGTATATAGGCGAGGATGGGGTAGGTAGGACAGGAATAGGGCTCAAGGAAAGGAAAGACTATTTTAAGGTGCTGGGTGTTAATTTGGGTATAAAGGAAATGGAGGGGAGAGATATGCAATATGAGGGAATTATTAACAGCATGAAGAAAACGCTCAAGTTTTGGAAGATGAGACATTTGAAGTTAAGAGGGAAGGTAGTTGTTATTAATGGGCTTATAGTGAGTAAATTGGTCTATATCTGTTATGGAAATGCCTGAGAGGGTTCATAAGGAAATTGAGACAGCAATAAGTGAGTTTTTGTGGGATGGGAGGGGCGTTAAAATAGCTAGGGAGGTAATGGAGAATGAGTATAAGGATGGAGGGATGAAGCTGATCAATTTGGAAAGGAAAAACAAGGCATTAAGGGTCAAAATGATATTAAAATATATTAGTGACAAAGAAGATAAAAAAGATCATGTATGGAAAGTATTTTTAAAGGAAGCAATTAATAAGTGTGGAGGCTGTGGTGACAATGCTTTATTTATGGCTTTAAAAAAAGAAATGCTTAATAGTGTTTCGGAGTACCACAGAGAGGCTCTATTAGCATGGGGTGAGTTCTTAAAAGGGGTAAAGCATGAGTGTGTGAATGTGGAACAAGTGTGGAATCAGCCTGTTTTTCTGAACCATATGATCGCTGTGGAGCAGTGTCCTGTATTCGATCTCCCAATGTGGAAGGCGGGTTTTAGACACATCAGGGATTTGGTTTATGAGTTTGTACCGGGGTTTATGGGGGCACAGGTGATAGTGGATGAGGTGAGGGGTAGGGGGGGAATTATGCTTTTGAGAACAGCGGAAGGGATCATGAAGAGGGTTAAAAAGGGTATGCCTGTTAGGTGGATGAGAATGATTGGCTGGTGCCCCACGAGGACGCATACGGGAAAACGCATACACAAACGCAATCTCAATTGCAAAAAAGGCTTCCGTCCACACGCAATAGACACCGGATAGTGTCTGTTCACACGAGACAGCTCGGTTTAGATCCAACCGCTGGAAAAGCTGCAGTACATATGCCGAGCCTGTACGTGGCGCTGTAACTTCCTCCACAAAAGCAGCGAAGAAGCATGGTTGTCATGGTTGCCCTTCTGTTTATTCTCCGTGGTGGGGGAACCGGGCTGAGTTTTTCGCCGGTCAATGTGTGTTAAAGTTTAAATCTTCCGGACAAAATTATAAAAGTGCCGGTCAAAGGTCTTCTTTGTTATTTATTGAGCTTTAAAACAAATGAATAACGACTTTATAGGCCTATAATAATATAATAAAACACGGAGGATGGAGATCTATTTTTCTCCCCCTCTTCTGACTTCATCAGAGCACGGCTCCCCTCTCCTGCAGGGGGGCGTGGTCAGCTGCAGCTCA